CCACATTGGCCACCCAGTCGGGAAAATTACAAGGCCGAATGAACCTTGCGTCTAACAGCTTTTTGACTTCGGCAGCTGCCGCCTGACTTCTTTCCTCGCCGTGGTTTCTTTTCTTTTGCTGGATGGGCTTCTTTTTGGGGTCCACGGCGAGTTTGTGGACAGCGAGATCCGGGCTGACGCCTGGCATCTCTTCCACTTCAAAGGAAAAAATGTCTTTGAATTCCTTCAGCAGGAGGTGCAAGCTTGCACCCAAGGTAGCATGAGCAACCGTCCCAACCTTTACAGTACGCTCTGGACAGCTATCATCCAGAACGAGATCAAAGTTTTCACCAGCCGGTTGGGGACGGAGATCGTCTGACCGTTCACCGGTCAGTGATTGCTATTTTTTCTCTTTCTTCACCTCCACCAGTAGAGGTGCCTTTCTTTTTCTTCCCGACTGCTGGTGGGACAGGTGGTGGGTCGGCATCCTTGACACTGTCAAGTTCTATTGGTTCCTGGCCACCTGGGGCCACAGTATCTTTGACGGCTGAGAGATAGCACTCCCGGGCCGTCTTCTGATCCCCATTCAAGGAACCAACAGATCTGTCATCCCTCTCATACTTGATGAGCATGAGAGACGGGATGATTACCTCCTTGGCTTCGTTGAGAGTTGGCCGACCAAGGATAATGTTGTAGGAGGTCAACTCCTCAGCGACCAAGAATCTGACGACAATATGTCGTCCCTGGCCTTTCTCTCCCAGCCGGATGGGTAAGTCAATTCTCCCGGCTGGGTAGACCATCCCGCCCCCAAAACCAACCAGGGGGGTGGGTGACCGGATGCATGCTGCTGACATTGTATTTCAGCTTTTGCAGGCACCGGAGGCTGATGATGTCTGATGAGCTGCCGGTGTCAATAAGGATTCTTCCAAACAGCTGGTTGGCAACCTTACATTCAATGACGACCGGGTCATCATGCGGACGGCGGACGCTACCCCTGTCCTTCTCAGTGATCAAGACGTCTGGGAAGGAGGTGCTTGTAGACGCCTGCTCATCATCATACTTGTCCATCTTTCGAAGATGGCTTTTGGTGCCCCGGATGGTAGGGCCACCACAGGAGAACCCGCCTGCTATTGTGTAGACCGGCTCCTTGTCGGTATCTGAGCTACTAGCAGGCTGGGGGGGTAGTCTTGGACGACTGACCCTTGTTCTTCTTCTTTGCCCCGAATGGGGACTTAGAAATGTAAGACTTCAACATCCCCTTGTCAGCCAGACGGTCCAACGCCCGTTGTAGGCTGAAGCAGTCGTTGGTGTCATGGCCAACCTCCTTATGGTATTAGCAAAATTTGTTCTTGTTCCTTGATTGAATGAAACTTTTCATTGGATTCGGCTTCTCTAGGGACAGCCGGTCCTTAATTTCCATGAGGATGGAGTTGCAGTCCTTGTTAAACTCGTACTTAGGAACGTACGGTTTAAACTCTTTCTTCTTCTTCTGGGACGGCTGGTCAGAGTCATTAACCGCCCAGATTTCTTTTCTTTTCTTGCTCTCTTCTTTATTTTTGGTCGGCTAAGCAGGTCGGTTGTCTTTTTGCTTGTCAGACTTCTTGGAGTCCGACTGGTTACCAGGCGAGCAGAGGTCGGTAGCTTGAATGTAGCTTTCCGCCTCCCTCAAGGCCGCCTGTAAAGTGAAAGCCCCTTTTCTGACTAGGTCGAACTTAAAGGTCGACCCGTCTCTCATACCCTTGAAGAAGTTTGTAAAAGCTACCTCATCAGACAGTCCTTGAATCTGAATTCTGATCAGATTGAACCGCCTGACATATGAGCGTAGCCCTTCTCCCTCTCCCTGCTTAACAGTGCTCAAGTCAAGGCTTGTTTTCTTAGCAGGGATGTTCATTGAGAAGTTGGAAGCAAACAGGAAGGCGAGCTTCCTGAAATTGTCAATGGACCCGGTTGGCAAGTTGCCAAACCATTGTTGGGTAATGCCCTTCAATGTAGCCGGGAAGCATCGACACCAAGTGGCATCATCCAACCCCTGTAAGTACATGAGGTTGGTGTATGCCATAAGGTGATCTTCCGGGTTGGTGGTACCATCATAGGTACCCACCAATACATTCTTAACCTTGGCCGGCTGTGCCGCCTCGGTTATCTCCCAGGTGAACGCAGAATATTTTCACCCAGGCGTAGCAGACGGAGCTGCCAGTCCAGTGGCTGGACATTTTGATATGTCGCCTGACCTCCGAAGAGAGCCGGGTGCATGAAGTGAGGGGGATACTGACCGTAAACCTGAGAAGGTACATACGGTGCAGTTCCAATCATCTAAGGGCCAGAATGGACGGTATTACCACCCGTCTGGCTCTCATGCAGGGAGAGAGCATTCCTTGCAGAAGTATTGTTGAAGCTGTCAGGAAAGTTCGACGTTGAAGCCGACTCAGACAGTTGTTGATTTCTCTTCCGGTTGATTATTTCCCGGGCATCAATAGATGATTTTTTACTTCCCACCGGCTGTTGAGTCCGGCGGGTATTATTGGTATTCCTCTTAGGAAGAAGAATCTTGGACCAATCAATGGTCCCGGCTGCCTTCTCCTTAGGATGGGGAATTGGCTGCCGATCTTTGACTGACTTCCCCTTTTCCAGAGGAGCTTTCTTGGCCGACTGACCTCTACTTGGGCCAGCCCGGCTCTGGGTGATTAGCTCTTTAATTTCACCCTTGAAACTTGTCATGAACCTCATGAGTTCGTCTTGGGTGACAGGTGCTAATCCTGCGGCCGTATGGGTTTCCCCTTTCGGCTGCCCAGGGGGTCGACTTGTACCCGCTTGGGTGGCACCCCGCTCCAGAGTATCTCTGGACCGAATGCGCTTGATTTTGAGAGAGCCATCATCGGCTGTAAAGGTTTCGACCTGAGGATCTTCATCCTCATGGTCTGTAAAGACTTCTGGGTCATCGCCCAGACGGTTAGGGGGTGGTACAAACTCTTGAACCATCTTCGAGGTACTCTCCCCACAGACGGCGTCAAATGTTTTGGGTGTGTTTGTCCCTCAGGAGAGTTACAATACGAAGACTGATCCGACGTGAGCTGTACCTGCAAAACAAACGGAGACACCGGTTGGGTGGTGCTCCGCCTCCGACGAACAAGTTAGTAACTTGAAGGGAGAGAAAAAGGTGCGGAAATTTAGGTGGGTATCTGCTCGGATTCCAAGCTCAGATGTCTCTATCACAGGGACAGTGTGTAATAAATGATAAAACGTGCCCCCCAAAAGAGAGAAATCTCCCTATTTATAGGGTCCTCGGGATTTGTGCCCCTGATTAGGTCACTGATCCCTAATCATTGGTGGGCTGCGCCGCTTTGCGGCTTTCTCGAGATTTGGGCCTGAAAGCCGCCATTTTCTCCCTAATTTCTGGAGTGACACGTGTCAGACAGGGATTGGTCCACTTTGGGCCATCCTGAGGCTGACACGTGTCATCCTCTGATTGGACCACGTTGCGGGGTAAAATTACCCTAAACACCAAATATATTTTTTGGCTATTTGACCAAGATGAAAAGTCAAATGCCAAAAGCCAAGTAAAAGTCATTTACCAAAATAGCCCAAGAAAAGAGAATGAAAGTTAGAAATAAAAGAAAGTACATGTGATTTATATGAATGCAACTTAAAACATGCAATATGAAATAGTTTTACGTTATTTATTTTCTTATTTTGGGCTAGTAATTTTTTACTTGTATTGACCTTGTCCAATAAAGGCATCATCGAATAAAAAACCATTTAATTTGACCCAACTATATATCTATTAGGTTATCGATAACTAGGTTTAGCTTTTGCTGAACTTTAATTTTTTGAAAAATTGGCTAAAAAATAATACCAACTATTAGTGGTATGTGCAAATTAATACGACCTTAGTCATTTGCTATCAGTGGTACCACCTTTTGTATTGTATGTAGAAAATAGTAAGTTAGCCACCGGAGAAAGTTTGAAAATAAGGACAGTTACCCTGGTTCACCGTGTGGTTAATTAAACAAAAGGGGGGGGGGAGAACATACATGCGTTTGGTAAATAAAATACATGCGTGTTTCACAAAGAACATACTTGTGATATGGTGTGTTCTTTGGATATCAACTATATGTTGTTTACATTATAACTTATGTTATTTAACAACTGTTGATTAAATATCCATGTTTTTTGGGGTTTCAATAATACAAAGTACTACGTATGTTCTTTGAATTTAGCACAAATTTTATTTGAGGTAGTCATGCATAAATTCTATTTTTATTATCATATGTCATATTTAAATTATTTTTATTATCGTATGTTCTTTGAATTTGAACAGTATATTCTTTGGGTATGAATTATATGTTCTTTACATTATAATTTTCTTTTTTTTTTAACATATGTTATTTTGAAATTTGAAAGGAAAAATTGTCATAAATAATACAACCTTTTGCCCGTCCGCTAAAAACAAGTCGACCTTTTAATTATCTCTAAATAATACCACCTTTAGTACTAATCCGCTCTAATTAGGTTTCATTAAATTGTAACCGGTTACAGTAGGTGAACTGGTAACGTGTCATAGACCGTTGGGAAATTTATTTTATTTAAAAAAAAAAAACCCCTTTCTCCTATCTTTTCTATTTATCCTTCTTTATAAAATTGTTCTTCGTATTTGTCACCATTAACATGAAAACTCAAATGCTCTCTCTTCCAATTCTCCTTGTTCATCTCTGTTATTGTTTGAAAAAAAATATCAAAAATTGAATGGGTGGCAAGAGGCAATCATCTAGTGGTTCATCGTCAAGCTTTGTGAGGGAGGAGAATCAGAAAATTCGCTGCAGTTGTGGCAATTTTGCGGTGGTGAGATCTGTAAGAAAAGGGTGCTAACATCGGGATGAAGTTTTATGGTTGTCCTTTGTGGCCGGTTTGTTTTAAATTACTCTCAATTGCTCTAAAATGTTCTAAATTGCTATCAATATAGCTAAAGTTGATTAATTTGAGTTTGACAGTTTCTAATTGCAAATTCAATTACATTATTGTAGGACACCCAATGTGAAATGTTTAGGTGGGTTAATCAGAGCAACCCCATGGAAGATCTTCAATATCATGTTATGGAGAAGGAAACAAGAATTTCCGAGTTGGAGTATGAGCAACAATGCAGAGAAGATAAAATCAAGAGGTTACAATTGAAGAAGGATAACCTAGAAGAGGATGTTCAAGAAATGAAGAATGAAGTGTATGCGATGCGAGCAGAGATGATGAATTGTTCGAGGAACGAGAAGAATTTATCCATGGCTTTGGTTTTTTCTTGGATTTTCTTTGTTGTAGTTTTGTTTTATGTCAAATTTTAGGTGGGATTTTAGGTGGGGTTGTAATTTCCTTGAAGATATAGTAAGGGGACTTGTTTTTATATTTGTAGTTTGTGTTCAGATATAATGGTACTTGACTAATGAAATGCAATTAGAAATAATTTCTCAATATAACATAATCATTGTCTTTATAGATGTGAAAGCTGATAACATATAGAATGATTGTTCAAAAGACTTAGCTTACACATGTTACATTGTTCAAAACACAAACCAATATACACTACATTGTTGTTGAAAAAACTTAGTGCTAATCATAGTTTCTCAAAAGTACATAATCTGAACAGAAGTTTTTATGGTTTTTGCTAATGGACTGTAGAGGTTTGGCTTGACTGTGTGGATATGTGTGGCTCTTGATCTCTTGCTCTATTCCTTGTAGAGGGGCCCTGAAACAAAATTTTTTAAAATTAAGTTAACAGTTAGCAAAGAACAAGTGCAAAAAACAGATAAAAATATGCTTACTTGTAGTATTGGGGCACCATCAGCACTGAAAAGCACACCAACCCCACTTGGAACCTGACCCCTTCCTCTGCCTCTCCCCCTTCCTCCTCTTGTTCCTCTAACTGAAGGACCTGCATTAGCAGCACCACCTCTAGTACCACCTCTGGCAGCACCTCTAGCACCCCTACCACTGTAAATTACCCTTCCACCCCTGCCTAAATGAGTTAGTTGTGCAGTGGTGGAGTGGTGTTGCACACTAGCAGAAGAAGGTGAAGCATAGGGGGGTCAATTACTTGGTGATCAGAAGATGTTCCTACAAACCCATCTTTTGTAGGTCTTCCTCTTCCCCTTTTTGCTGCTGGCTCTTGGTGAACATAGTTGTCTTTATTAGGACATCTCCTCTTATTGTGGCCTTTAACCTTGCAGAGACTACATGTCATTTCAATTCCAGTCCTTGACAAAGAGCCTGGCTTCTTTGGAAGTTCATAAGGATCTTTGATCCTATTTTTTCTAGGTCTTCCAGGACCTACTTTGAAGGGAGGTGGGTCTAAGTTGCAGGGCACCAACAACACTTAGAATTTTCCCACCAAGGAAGGTCTTTAAGAATGTTGCATCTATACAGATCACTTTTCTGCACCCTTCCTTCCAACCTTGCTTCACTCCTTCAAAACAAGTGTACAGTCTCTGGAAAATAGGTGGATTTGTCTGCTTGGAAGTATCAACCACTAATTGAATACTTGTACCAGGGCTTGATGATTTGATAGCTTCTATATACCTCTCCACTTTCATATAGTGTTCCTTCATGGAGCCATGGAGTAGTATGTGTGCATGGTATTTGACTTTGTATGCAAAATCCCTCTTAACAATAACCTTATAAGCTCTCCTAATTGCTTCAATGATTTCCTTAGCTGGCCAGTGAGGCCTTGCTTTAAAAATCTCCAACATTTCTCTTGTAGCCCATGTTGATTTGAGTTGTCTGTTCTTGTTCATATTCCTATGACAAGTGTGACTGCCATCCACCCTCTTCACTAAGAATGTTGCATTTCTGGAATGCCATGCACCATACAAATAAAAAGGACACCCCTCAACACATCTCACTCCCACATGTTGCTGCCTGTTCTTGTTACTCATAACAAAGCTTAAATCCCTGCCCTGCATAATTGCATACCTAGATACAGCTTGTTTAAAGTCACTCCTATTTGCAAATATCTGTCCTACTAACCAAGTGAATGTAGAAAAATCAGTCTCACCACTCACAAGCATACCTCTCCTTCCCTTCCTTCTAGCTCCTGCATTTTCATCATCACTATTCTCAGGTGTGTGAATCTCTTCTTCACTGTTTTCATACCCACTAACATAACCACCAGCACCAGATGTTTTAGCAGCAATATCTACTTTACCCTGTGGTTGTTTAGGACCACCAAATCTCCCTTCACAGGCCTTTCTTTGAAGCTGACTTGCTATTTCAAGGATCTGGTTGTTGCAATTTTTAACCCTCTGTCTAGATAATTCAACCTCTTCATCACTGTTGTCTGACTCACCAGTGAATAAATCAACCCTATCAAGACCCTCATCAACCTCAAAGTAACCATCATCTTCTACCTCTAGATCTACATCATCATCTTCACCAATTCCTTCATCATCCTCACCCTCAGCAGGCACAAACTTAGGATCTGATTCATCCTCAGAATCAGTACCAAAATCACAAAGCTCTTTCAAGGTCAGTGGACTATCTGGCCTATTGTCTTCCCATTCATACTCTGTAGTGACACTAGGGTTAGCTTTTGAAGTAGTGGATGGTTGAGTCAAACTGTTGTTATAAGCATGTGGTAAAGTAGATGCTGTTGAGCCAACTTTTTTGGTTAAAGGGGGACCAGGTAAGGAAGTTGATGCTGTTACATTGGATTCCATGTGCTTTCTGGGGCTTCTTTTAGGTGGGCCCAAGTGCTGTGACTCTGAACCCTTTTTGGGAGTTAATTTTTTAGGCTTAGTTGGTATGGGGGGTGGGATATTTTCTGAGATTGGTGGGCTTGAGTGGCTATCAGAAGGAGATGGGTTTTCTGGTGACAAGTGTGGCTCTTCTCTACTATGCAACACATACACATCAACACTCCTATGCTTCACCACTATCTCACCCATTTCTAACACTTCTGCATCCTCTGTTATCTTTCTTAACCCATCTGCTAAAGACAGATTGGGAACTAAAAAATATAGCCCTGCAATGTCACTATAATCCCCACATTTCTTTCCAAAGTGAACTAGCTCCCAATAACATAATTCATCTGGAGCAACCTGAAATGTCCTTCCCATACCACCCATGTACACTAACTCTCCTTTACCAACAACATGCTTAAATCTGCCCCCATACCAAAACCTCAAAGTCACATTCTCAAACAACCTATTATTGCTCATTATCACCTAAAATTAAGCACATAAACCCAGATTATCATCACAAACAGATCAATAATAGATTGCACCAAAAAATAAACCCCAAAAAAACCTCAATTTAGCAATCCAATTAATGTTATTCTACAAGAAATCAAACATATTCGACAAAACCAAATTAAGATACAACAAGCATAATCAAACACAAACTAAGGTCAGACATTTAATTCCCCCAAATACCAAACATGCATAATCGAATCAGTCCACAAAACCCAGAACAAATAAAAACAATAAGAGTTTGAAGATCGTACCTTAATTTAAGCGACTATAATTGCAAATTCCGTCGCAAGCAAACAACTTTAGGGCAATTTCCGGCGCAATTCTTATCTTCCGACTTGTTTCCCGACTTGCCTTCGTCACTCTTTGCAACTAGTACAAATTTAGGTGAGCTTCAATAATGGCGGAAGAGATAGCAGTAAGGTTTGGGTAGTTGGAGTAATTAATTGCCAGCTGTGCAATTTAGGAGGGAAATAAAAGTCAAGAGGTTTTTTTGACCTGTTAACTAATTAGTTCTAGGTTGCCAGTTTTTTTTACCTAATTAGAGTGGATTAGTACTAAAGGTGGTATTATTTAGAGATAATTAAAAGGTCGACTTGTTTTTAGCACACGGGCAAAAGGTCGTATTATTTCTGACAATTTTTCCAATTTGAAAATGAAATCTTGAATTATTTTTATTTGAAAAATAATATTAGAGAGAAAACTAAAATTATTATGGAAAGTTGAATTTTTGGGGAAAGGAAAAACTATTATTGGGGAAATGATATCTTTGGTAAAGATTTTTTCCGTTAATGTGTAATATTTCATGAAATTTTAATAAAGTTTATATCGTGTTCTTTTTGTAATGTCTTTAAGTTTTTTTGTATTGTATGTTCTTTGTTAAACACAAACATGTTTTTTGTAAAATACATGTATGTTCTTTTTCAAACACTGGTATGATCTTTCTACTTTTTTTTTTTTTTTTTTTTTTGTTGTTTAAATGTTGTGATGTGTATTCTTTTCCAGATCAAACATAGTTTTATTTGCCTTTACTTTTTGTAAAATAAAAGGAAGGCTCATTTTCTACAAAACTTCTGATGAACTCCATGAACTTTTGAAAGACTTCGGACTTCTCTGCTAATAAATATACCATGCGAGTAATCATCAACAAATGATTTTATATAAGGCTAAGGCTTACCTAAGCATAATAGAGTAGAGACTTTTCCAAAGACGTTTGCTTAAATGAGCTGGTCAACTTCTCCTCAGTTCTGTACATATGCAAAGAATGTCGTTTGCCCCTAGACAGAAACATTAGCACGTGACAGGATAAAGTCGTATAGATCTCATAATCAAAAGAATTACCTAAGTCCTCTAACTAAAGAAGATTGGGAAGTAGGGTCGAGTAGTCCACATGGAAACAAGTCTTTCTATTCCTAATTAATTAAAATAATTTATATTATTAAGTAACTAAATATTGTGAATTGAATTAGACTAAGGAGAATTAAAGGAGGGAGAAATCAATAAATAAAATCCTAAGACATAGGTTCACCAATAAATAATATTCCAGGTAAAACATAATAAGCAATCATCAATACATCAATTAATCAAATTATAAAGGGCTTTCGCTACACATTACAATCACGGAATTAATCTACCGGTATTAAATCACATCTCTCGAATCTTGACTTAACCATTTATAAATTAACTTTCCTATTGAAACTAAGCCTAAACATCATTTCTCTTCTCTTGAATCTCAAATAAATATTGCATAACTCATACGATTAAACCAGGCATAATCTAATTGCATAACATTAAATCAATCAATAGGAAATCAATCAAAGCATTGAAAAACAACAATAATAATTCACCCTTTCACATTATTTATGGATCCTCACAACCCTAGAAATAAATCTACCCACACATATTAAAATCTAAACTAAACAAAGCAATTAAACAAGACATGATTAATCAAAACATTTAAATTACTGAAAATAAAAAGGGAAATTTTTTTAACAAAATAAACAAAAAATAATGAATTGCATAAACCAAAAGTGCAGAGAGAGAACAGGAGCAATAATCCAAAAGCTTAAAACTAAATCTGAGAAATTACCTAATGAGAAGATGTAAAGCTTAACTAAAACGTATTTCTACATAAGCCTAAAAATCCTAATTAAAAACAAAGTAAAAATCGTCAAAAATCCTCCTAGAGACACGCACCCAATCGGGCGTAGCTTTGCCTAGCAAAACCCGCATTTTTTCTAAGTGGAGTCTCTCTTGCGCCCGGTCGGGCTCGCATTAGGGCAAGGGATAC